TTTTTTTTGGTACCAGGGATCGAACTTGGGTCCTTGCGCTTGCTCAGCAGGCAGCGAAACCACTGAGCTAAATCCCCTGCCCTCGACCAACTTTCTTAAGAAACCATACTTAATTTTACATTAAACACACACGTTCCATTTTTTAGTCCTTCACTGCTAAGAGGATTTATTAGCAAATAAAAAACTGATACCAAACAACACAATAGTTATATCACTACACTGTGAAATAAATAACAAAACCACTGTTGCAAAAGAGTGCAAACTATTCTCAGCAGGGCTGCTCAGCATCTGTTTCCCACACATAGTAACTTGTGTGCATTACCAAACCTATAATTTCCCACATTTCCCACTGACCCCACTGATTTGCAGCCTGGAAGCCTCATACATCTCATGGGCCAAGACAGACACTATGGATGAGCTAGCTGGAATGTCAAACAGCAGGCAGGGGTCACAGGGATAGGTTACATTATGTTTTGACGGGAAGAGTATCCACTCATTTTTCATACACAATCACAAGTTAAAGCAAACACCCCATTCACTGCACAAGAGAATCTCACATTGAACTAAGACTATGCCTGGAAGCTGGAAAGATGGATGAAATTATATGTACACTATTTATGTGAAATAAATGCTAAATTATCAGATAAGATTGTAGATAGTAGACATAAACTGGGACTGTGCTTGGCACATTGCTACATACAGTCACTTTACCTATAATTGATTTACTAGGTTTTGAAAGGAACTTGGCAGCATTCTTGGAAATCCAGGCAAATTAACTGGAATCCCTCATCTCTGTATCAAATATTTATTGAGTACTATCATGTGTCAGGCACTGGACTAAATGGTAGTGGAAAACAGGTGAGGACAAATTTTTCTCAAGTGTCCACTGTAGAGTAAAAGAGACAGATGCTCCCAGTTGTATGTGGGAAGTGTGACAATGAGGATAAGGTCAACAGACACATCTCCTGGCACCACCTTACACCCTATGCTTCCAAAGTTCTTCCAGTGCCCAAACATACCTGGCTTTTTGGCTTCACACTGGCTTGTAGTAACTGTGCCATTCACTTAGCAGTTCCTCTTTCTTACTCTCAGCTTTGAATCCTAAGATGCAGTGCTGGGGTGAAGACTCAATCTTCCTGCACTTTCATGGCTATTTCCTTACAACACATTTCCAGAAGTAGGATCTCTGGTCCCCAGCATATGCAAAATAGTAAAGCTTTCAATTCATGTTCCTAAATTGCTAGAGATGTTAATTCACATATCTGCTCCCCACTTCTATAGCCTCACCAATGATTTCTTTAAATGTTGAACGATCTTGTTTTTAATTTGCTCTCCTTACATTGCTAGTGAAATTAATAAAATAAATATATTTCTCATGAAAATACCATTGAATAAAATGATCCTTACGATTTTGTTGTACTTGTTTTTACTCTTTATATGCATTTAATAGTTGAAGGCATAATATACATGTAATTTTATACTTGCTTTTTTAACCCTTTGAAATTATCATGAGCATTTCCTTAGCCTCTTTAAAACCATTATTTTTTTTCCTTAGTTGGTGATTTTTTTTTTCCCATTAAGTTTATTGGTACATTTTCAGTATAAAATACAGTTACATTCATCATT